ACCCACGAAAGCTTATGCTCCAATACGTCTGTTAGTCTATAAAGTGCCACAGGACTCTGTCGCTTTTTATTGGTCAAACAGTTAACTGCGTCAGCAATCAAGTCTGCCTTGATAGCTACAGAAGTATCTTAACACTACCTACTCCTATTGATTAAACATTTGCTGTGTCTGTTATTTTCTAAAGTTGGCATCATACTTTGTGTAAACTGCACTCTGGATTTTTTTATACAGTGAAGAAAATCAGCATAAATAATGAAGTAATGAAGCAGCTGGCTAAAGTTAGAATATGCAGTTTAAGGGCCCAGTCCTCCTCCCATTGAAAACAATTGGACTTTTTTTTTCCATTTTAAGGTTAGAGATAAATAGGAAGGGGAAAAACTAATTATTCTCTTGTGGGATGATTATTTGCAAAACAAGGTTGAATTTTACCATTTTACCCAGGCAACTGTATTGATTTCAGTGGGGTTGCACAGGTATAGATTGAGAACAGAATTTTTCCTGTAGTGATTTTGTGAGGCTAATAATCCATTCTCTTAGGAAGACACTACAACTGGCTCGACAGCTTAAAGACAGAGCTGTGGAAGCACAGGCTTGTTACAGTCTTGGAAATACATATACTTTGCTCCAAGACTATGAAAAAGCAATTGACTATCATCTGAAGCACCTTACAATCGCTCAGGAACTGAATGATAGGTAAGTCCTTTGGAGCCAATATTGTATATTTAACTTAGAGGGATAATAGGATTGCCCCTTCGTCTCCTGTAATTGTTCTGTATATGGAACTTGCTTTGAAATCAATATGAGTTCCCAGCATGGATTGGCTATAGGATTATACCCTTCATAGGAAAAAGTGGTAGTCTTAAAGATATCACATTAATGAATCCTGAGATGAAAGGTAGACTTTGTGCAGTTGTATTGAGATGAAGAGTATCCCGTGACTTATGGAATCACTGATACTGTTAGACTGACTTCCACCTCTGTCAGTTTTTTGGTTAATTGTTAAGGGAAGAGACAGCAGCTCTCAATCTTTACTTCGAAATAAATGATTGCTGTAATTTTGCAGCCTTCTCAGACCAATAGATGCGCTTTTGTGCCTTCACTGGGGAGGAATGAAGTGGAGAGAAAAGGACAAGTCCACTAAAATGATATAGTTTTTAAATGCAGATGATTTTTAAGCCCTGTATTTTAATATTCAGGGCAACTAAAATTGCTTTGTAATTTTTAAATGTTATGCTTATTGATTTGTAGAGAAAGACAAATGTTAAGAATGGGCCAGAGAATGCAATTCAAGCAAAAAATGCTTATGAACTGGGTTACAAAATGTGGTCCCTATGCATTTTTAAACTCTTGGGTCCTTTGTATCGTTATCAGCATCTTGTCATTTGAATCATAATGTTCACAAGACTGAAGGAGTGATTTGTCCGTTCTGTAAAGTAAAAATCAAAGATCTTACCTTCACAAAATTCCTAATTTAAGTAGCAAGTGTTTTAAATGAATGCTGAATAGATTGTTTAAATACTTGGTTAAATGTCTTTCATTACTGCCTATAATGTACTTAATATTTTGGTGCTTGAAATGGGAGTTTTCCTACGCTTACTGGGCCCAGCAACAGATTCTGTCCCAGAAGTTACAGCATGAAATTCTGACCACCTGGGATTACAACTGAATATTTGCTTCAATTGTGTTACAGAATTGGTGAAGGAAGAGCATGCTGGAGTTTAGGAAATGCGTACACAGCATTAGGAAATCATGACCAAGCTATGCACTTTGCAGAAAAGCATTTAGAAATTTCAAGAGAGGTATGACTTGTGCATTCTTCTGTTTTGGCTGTTGGCTTTTCCTCTTGAAGATCTTTCTAATGTCACACATCCAGACTGCATGACACATTGTGTTTGGAGGAAGAAAATAAAAAATCTGTCTCAAAGTAGTGTCATCTGAGGGGGGTTAGTTTACAGTGGCCCCAGTAAATGTGTGTGAAGAGGAAAAATAGTTGGAATGAAAAGTTGTGGCTTTGCACCTAATGCATTAGTAAAAGGATTCAAGAAGAGTCTTTCTGTATGGAAATGTCACCACTGTAGTGGTGTCAAGGCCATAGACACAAAGTAATCGTGTAATATTCTTGGAAAGCAAAAGGTACAGCATTTGTAGATTTTTCTTAAATATCAACAAAAATTGGCAAAAATAGCAACATAAGTTGTCAGCAGACTAATTCTTCACTTTCTATTTTCTGTCACCTTGTGAAATGCTGTTCACTTTCTCTGGTGCATCAGTCAACTTTGCCTAAATGCACACCAGATTTTAAGATGTTGAAGAGAAACTTTAAATCCATAAGCAGCATGCTCTCATTCTGCAATTGTGGGCTGAGATGTATATATCTACCTCAGCCCACAATTGCAAAATGAGAGCATGCTGCAGATATATACACATGCTTGCTGTGTGTTTGATTTTGATTCATGGGATAGGTGTTCAGAGCATGCGACTGATACCAATAGTTACATTTTTAGAAATTTGAGGAAATAAATAATAACCAAATAAACATATTCAAATGTACTTGGTTGCAGGTAGGGGATAGAAGTGGAGAATTAACAGCTAGACTTAACCTCTCAGATCTTCAAATGGTGCTTGGTCTAAGCTACAGCACAAACAACTCCATGATGTCAGAAATCCATGCTGTAGATAATAGTTTGAATGGTAAGTGCTTCTTTCCAGCATATTTTTTTAGCTGAAGTTGAGAGGAAAAAATGATTGCTCCTTTATTGTGTTCAGAGGCTTTTGTATTTGTGTTTCTCACTCTCCTATCTCCCTTCTCCCCTCCCTCCCCCCAAATATCTGCTTGTTCCATTTGGAATATTGGGCCTTCTTTTTGATAAAGGGACCTTTTTATGTTTGGAAGACTTGCATCATGGAATCAGACAGGCCTGCAACACAGGCTGTTCCTCTCCACAAGTTGAATGGTCTAAATCTGAATGTTCCCCAACCACTTCATTTAAGGGGAGAAGAGAGGCTGATGTTGCTATGCAGATCCTCCAAAAAAATGTCAGTCCTCTAATAAAGAGGGAAGTTTGAGGACCTGACTTTTTTCCAAATTAGAAGAAAGAATGCTTAAAACAATCCCATTTTTAAAAAAATAAAAAATTAAAGCCACATTTATATGCATCTTAATAGAGCTGGAAAGAATGCAAACAAAGTTCGATTTTTGCTTTATAGTCCATTGTTTGCATTTTGTCTGTGGGTAATTTTTTTTTTAAATGAGAGCAAATATGTAACAGCTTTTTTTTTTTTTTTTTTTAAAGAAAAAATCTGAGATAAGACTGATTTTATGCACCAGATTACCAGTTTTGCCTTGCCTCCTTTCTCCATAGCATTCTTACTGGCATTGGGGAGCTTACAATACAAATCGTGGGCTCATCTGATGTCCCTCTTCCTCTGTCTAAACTCCCTAATCAAACCTTTCTCTCCCTGCTCCCCATCCACAGTTGTGTAGCCTCTTCAAAACTCAGTTGATCTTCTGTGACTTTGTAGTGTAATGCCAATTATTTTTAGAAAGTGCGTGGTATTTTGATGCAAGAGCATAGCATTCCTGGATCAAAGAATCTTATTGCAAGGAGACAGTCTATATTTGTGTTTTAAGGTAATTAGCCTTAAACTCTGAAGTGCAAAACCAAGTGTTTTCAGCCTGGGTACTCTATAGATGTTTACTCCATGCTAATATTTTTTTACTACATCATTTTGGAACTTAAAATTACCACGTCTTAAACCTTAGATGGTATATACCACAACATAGCTTTGAAATGTAGAAAATGCATCTTTCCGCTTCATAGGCAACCAACTTATTTAGTCTTATTTCATCTCTTCCCAAAGGTGCAAGATCCAGAGTAGGACGCCGTCACAGTATGGAAAACATGGAACTTATGAAATTAACACCTGAAAAGGTTGGCACTTCCTTTCTTTTCTTTCTGTTCTGAGTAGTAGAATTGCAGTAATGTTTCATAACTTTCAGTGCACCAGTGCTATGAAATGCCTAACGTGAATCATTCCATATAAATTCTTCATTCAAATGATAGGAGCATGGGTTTTAGGGCAAGATAATCAGAAATTGTATATACTAACAACTTTAGAAGTGGCTAGTAAAATCTTGATCAATGAAATGAAGTGTCAAGCAGATATAAATCTAGAGAAGTCAGAGACATGTTCAATAACTAGTTGTGGCAAAGAGTATTCATGATCAAAAGCACAATGGTAGCAAAGTCAGTCCTATGTAATGGTTTACTGAAGGATGTTCTCTCAGGAATGTAGAATTTATTTTCTGCAGTACACATCAGAAGTGTGTAGGGAGTGTGTATTTCCCCTAAGAGCTTCAGTTTATCTGGGTAGTCAAGAAGTGATTCAGAATAAAATGAAAGGGAAGCTGTCCATAGAACTTAGAGCAATCATTCCTCAGCTATGAAACAATTTCATATTTTTATTTATATATCAAATTTTTATAGTGTTTTGTTTGAGGCTCTCAGAACATTTTGCAAACAATTAAGCCTTTCAACATCCATGTTAAGTAGATATATTTTAGAAATGTAAAAGCTGAGGCACTGTAAGGTCACACAGGAAGTCTGTCAGAGCTGGGAATAGAACAGAGTTCTCCTAACTAGTAGTGATGTACCTTAACCTCAAGGCAAGAGTTATCTAAAATGAACCTGTTTGCCTCATGAGCCAAGTTGACAATTCTGTATAAATCCATGTTTCCCAAAGGATTTTAATGGGAGTTGGAACTTCTACTTCAACCTCCATCCTGGGACACTATTCATCCCCATCTCCTCCAATAGTACAAACCTGTTCACTAGTTTTGCAGATAAGAGAGTTAAATCTCTTCCAGGACTGACATGTTGGGCAGCTGATGGTGCTGAAGTTTGTCACTTCTTGCACTCTGACCCCCTGCTGGGACTGATATACAAGATCCTAAGTTTGGCCTCCAACCTGCATCTCCCACAATGTAGTGCTGAACATTCAGCTAGTTCCAGCTGAAGTTTTTTATCCTATACCGCTCTGATCACTTAAACTTTTGCTTAGGTGATACCTTTTAAAAATATGAGTCCTGTATGTGACAGTATAGTCTGGGGTACTGTGTAATGAGAGTTTTCCAAGATGCCTCTATAAGAAACCAAAACTAAATATCATAGCATCGCTGTAACAAAGGACTTCCTTTGAAATACTACTCTTCTAAACTCAAGAGAAGGAGTTTAATTGAGGGATGAGGTTCCAAAGGCATAATGGGGGGAAAAGCCCAGCATAGGAGCCTGATTTTAGGAGTTTAGATAAGGCCGAAAGCAGAGGCTCTGAAAGACCTTAAGATATGGCTAGAATATCCAACACGAAGAGACTGTACAAATAAGGCGTTGGTGCCAGCCAATGAATGGCTTTGTCAGAACCAGAATATTTGTTTAGTCTTTATAAGCTTCTAATGCAGCTGTACCTAATTATGTCAAGAGGGCAAAAAATACTGGTACACTAATCTCTGAGTAGGAATCTGCCTTATAGCATTAACCAAACTTAGGTCCCTGATATCCTTCTGTTTTGGCAGCCACCTCTGCTTTCAGAGCCATGCTGCTACTGTTGTCTGGCATCTGTGTAACAAGGGAGAAGTTTAATTTTAAAATTCAACTGCACAGTTTCCCTGTGAAAAAGCTCTAAAAGGCTCCTATGTCATCACAACGTACAGTCAACCTGTGGAACTCTGCCAGGGAATGTTGTGAAGGCCAAGACTATAATAGGGTTAAACAAAGAACTAAATAATTTCATGGAGGATAGATCCATCAATGGCTATTAGCCAGGATGGGCAGGGATGCAAAACCATGTGCTGAAGTGTCCCCTAGCCTCTGTTTGCCAGAAGCAGGGAATGGGCAACACAGGGTGGATCACTTAATGATTACCTTTTCTATTCATTCCATCTGAAGCACCTGGCATTGGCCATGTCGGAAGGCAGGATACAGGGCTAGATGGACCATTGGTCTGACCCAGTATGTCCGTTATGTTTGTTATGTTAAGGGGTTTGACTTTCTGAGGAAAAGACAAATTTACCTAAAAAATGCTCTAGCATTTTAATTTACAGCTTAAGTTACAGTTCTAAATTTCACTGACAATATTGAAAGATTTTAATTCTATTACTCTCTCTGAATGGAATGTTCTTTCTTTGATTCACTGACATTGAGCTCATTTCCTATTGTATGTTAGAGATAATACAGGACTCCATAGTCACAGGTCAGGTGATGTAACCTAACAGTTAAATTTTGTTCATCCATCTACTGAAAAGGAAACACACATAATCTAGAGATTCTTCACTGGTGGGGAGTGAAGCTAGTTAGATGATAGGCAGCAGCATATGTAAAGAAGGCTTGTTTCATCTGACTCTTGTTTTCTTAGATTCAGAACTGGAACAGTGACATTCTTGCTAAACAGAAACCCCTGGTTGCCAAACCTTCAGCAAAGCTGCACTTCGTAAATCGACTAAAAGGCAAAAAGTACAAAAATGGCAAATCCTCCAAAGTTCTGCAGGATGCTAGTAATTCTATTGATCATCGACTTCCAAGCTCTCAGAGGGTATGTTTGGAGAACTAAAGCCTAAACAGTTTTAATTGTTTGCTTGGTGAAAATTTCTAAGTTACAAATGAGTGCTCATTTCTGGAGTTGTGTTAATTTCAGTTCTTATTGTTCACTTGATCAGAAAAAAAGTGATTAAAGTATAGTAACTCCGCGCTTAATGTTGTAGTTATGTTCCTGAAAAATGTTACTTTAAGCAAAACGATGTTAAGCGAATCCAATTTCCCCATAAAAAGTAATGTAAATAGGGGAGATTAGATTCCAGGGAATTTTGTTCGCCAGACAAAAGGCCACACCCACACCCACACACCCATACCCACACACAGTTTTAAACAAACAATTTAATACTGTACACAGCAATGATGATTGTGAAGCTTGTTTGAGGTGGTGGGAAGAGGGTGGGATATTTCCCAGGGGATGCCTTACTGCTAAATGATGAACTAGCACTTGGCTGAGCCCTCAATGGTTAACACGTTGTTAATGTAGCCTCATACTCTACAAGGCGGCATGAATGGAGGGAGGAGACACAGCATGAAGAGAGAGACAGAGACTCACACTGTGTGTGTGTGTGTGACGCGCATTGCCCCTTTAAGTACGCTGAGCCCACTGTAAGTACACTGCCTTTTTAAGTAGATCAGCAAGTTGAGACAGCAGCTGCCAGCAAGCTCTCTCCGTGTCCGTCTGTCCCCCTGCTCTGAGGAGATGAGGTGCAGGAGAGGAGGGAGACACCCTGACATAGCACCCCTCTTCTCCCTCCCCCGCCCTGCACAGCAAGCAGGCGGCTCCTGGGAGCAGCTCCAAGGCAGAGGGCAGGAGCAGCAACGAAACAACTTTAACCGGGATGATGTTGAGTGTGGAGTTACTGTACAGAACTAGCTTTGTCACAAGATTAATATATACATGTTCAATTTTGCCTTAAATTTGAAAGAAGTGAAATAATAAAAATTTAAGTTAACTTGATCAAGGTCAGAGGAGAGAATCTATTTGTGATAATGAGAACTAAAGCAGCAACTGGAAACATGTCTCTGGCTTATACCTTGCAGCTTTATTTTCCTTTTGACTACTAACTGTGCCATATAATGCTCACATTTCAATTGTTTTAAAAGATCTTCCACAAGTGGGCTTGTTTTGTTGACTTGATCACCTTCCATTGTAACATTGTGTTTAAACAATATCCAAATATCAAACATGACCGGATTAAACTGCCATAACTTCTGCATTACAGTTCAATAGGGGACAATCGTAACCCAAAGTTTCCCTGACACTCTTGCCTATCTTTTCAGAAAAACAGTCCTGATATGACTGGAGATGAAGGGTTCTTTGACTTGCTGAGCCGGTTTCAAAGCAACAGGATGGATGATCAGAGATGCTGTTTCCAGGAGAAGAGCAGAATGACAGCTGCAGCATCATCCTCCACCCCACCTAAAACAATGAGAAAATGTACATTTTTTTTTTATTGTTTGTTTGAAAAAAAATCTACCCAAATCATGTGCCTCTGTCTTGGCTTGATGTCAGTGTTTTAAACTGTTCTAACACTCAAGATTTACTGTTCCAAGGCACATTTCCAGACTAACTTGTTCGCTTTCTCCTTCCATCTTCAGCCTTTTCTACTTCCATGGTCTCACCGCACACTGATGAATTTTTAGATCTACTTGCAAGCTCACAGAGCCGCCGCCTAGATGATCAACGAGCCAGCTTTAGCAATTTACCTGGGCTTCGTCTCAATCAGCACAACAGTCAGTCAGTCCTTGGCCACCTAATGGCTAGCAACAACAGAGAATCAGATGATGACTTCTTTGATATCTTAATAAAATGTCAAGTAAGTCAATAAGAATGGTATGTGGAAAAAACTGCTGCTCAGTTACATGGGATGGGGCTATTACATTACACTGAGGGTCAAAAGAACTGGGTGTTCATGTAATTTACCCCCACGAGGCCTCATTTACCTCATCTCAAAAATGGGGATAATGCCTATATCTATAAGCACTTTGAAATTGATATATGAAAAGCATTCTAAAAGTGCTAGGTGCTGTAATATGTGCAGAGTTGGAGAGAAAATTCAGTGAGGTTTTTTCCATGTTTTTAACTTATGTCACTGCAATCTTTACACTCAACATCAGTAAGACTCTTGATACTAGAAATATTAGGCTCTAAATTCAATCTGTGAATGAAACTTCCTATTGAATCTTTCAGAATATATTGAAATGAGGAGTACATTGAGGTTCTTTGACTGCTTGCTCATGTCAATTCCATGGTAGGTGTGTGTGCGCAACATGCACAGTTGCTGGATGTTTTTTCCTTAGTGGTAGCTGTAGGGGCTGGCCCTGTCGCCCCCGGGAGCCTGTGCTTATGCGCCAGTATAAGGGGCGCTGCTAGCCCCCCTGCTCTCTGTTCCTTCTTACCGCACAGGACGGTTGCTGGAGTGTTTCTTGCCTTGCAAGCTTTCCAGTGGGTTTTGGACTTTGTTGTTCTGTATATAGTTAAATGTTTAGTTGATAGCTGTAGTTAGTTAAGGTAGATAGCAGTCCCATATCGGGACGTTGTCATAAGAATGGGGCATGCCCTGGTCCCCGGGTTTCAAATCGTCTATTGCCTGCGTTAAGTCCATGCCAGTGAAAGACCCCAATTCAAGCTGCTTAAAGTGCCTCGGGGAAGCCCACATTAAGGACGGGTGCAAAATCTGCAGGGCTTCAGGACATGCGCACAAAAGGACAAGGACATTTGTTTGAAGACCCTGTTAATGGAAGCAGCACTTAGACTGACCTTGGAGTTGTGCTGCTCTGATTTTGCACTGAGCAATCAGCCTGGGTACGGAGCACTCCCCTGGCACCATTCACTGTTTTCGGTGCCAAGGAAGAGGCACAAGAAACTGGGTGCCAAAAGAGGGCACTCCCCAGTGCCAAAGAGGGATAGGTGGGGAGTGATTGACAAGGTGATACCCATGCCGGGCCTCTTGTCCTCCCCAGAGGTGCAGTCTGTGGCGGTGACTCCACCGAGGGCAACAAGCCCAGTCCAGGACTCAACGCTGACTCCTGGGAGCAGTCAGGGCACCGTACACCTGTGAGCCCCATTGACACCTGAAGCATTGCAGGCAGCAAAGGACCTAATGTCCCTCCTGGTGCTGCCCATGCCCTGAGATCCCCAGCTGGCTTCCTCAGTTGTTGAAGGTGATCACCACCAGAGAAAGACCCTTCATGGGCCCACCACTGGTCTCCAGCTTCACAGCACTGATCCCCACTTCATGACACATATCCACGATCCCATGTCAATGGTCACTGGCTCCACAGCACCAGTCTCCAGCTCCCCTGTCATAGCCGACAGGTGGACGTGGCAATGGCTCCACCATGGTCTCCATGGGAGGAATTCTCGTCGGAGGCCGGGGATGAATCCATTCTGAGAAGACACCAGCATCAGCCTTTCGCATCAGACTTTGGTGCCAGACCTTCTGCAGATGCTTGGCCCCTGGGGCAGTGGTTGGTGCAATGGCAACATTGGAACCTGTGGGGGTTCCCTCTGACGCCAGGTTCCTACTCCCAGCTGTCATCCTTGGTTGTATCCAAGAGACGAACCACTGTGCCGCCCCAGCTAGTGCTGGACTCAGACTGCAACCCAGTATCAGGACCCCGGCAGTGGTCCCCGTGGAGGCAACCCCAGTAGTGGAGAAGGAACCAGCCCCTCCTATCGTGGTAGCCTCTTCCTCATCGTCCCTAGATGTGGAGGTCGCAGGTCCTGCCAACCCCCTGCCACCATACGACTTCAGGGTTTATCAAGAGCTCCTTAAACAAGTCGCCACAAGCTGGAGGTGGAGGAGCGCAAGGAGCCCATGAACAGCCTGTTTGGAGGGGGATGCTGCAGCTAAAATGTCAAAGTGGCCCTACCAGTCCATGAAGGGGTGTTGAAGCTGGTTAGGTTGCTGTGGCAGATCCCATCTTCCCTGCCTCTGACCTTGGAAAAAATATGTCCTGGCTAAGGGGTTTGAATATACGTACTTGCACCCTCCCGTTTCCAGTTTTTATAGCAGTCTTTAACTTGATAAAGTAGGAACCTGCTTCTACATTACTGCATCCAGTTTAGTACAAAATTAGCGATTTTTTAAAAGGAATGACTGAAGCATTTCACCCTGGACATCTCTAGACAGATTTAAACTTCTAGTTTCATTACATGTGCAAGTGAGAGAGAAAATTAAAGCAATAACTAAAACAATCAAGAGTGCCAGTAATGCAAGATGGCTGATTGAAGCTGAAACAACATAATAGTAGCTGCAAGCCTCCATACAAGAAAAATATTCCCACTTAATGCACAATATATAGCTGAAAAGAAACGAGTTGGTTTCTAAGCAGCAGAAGATGCTGTTCAAGAACAAAGTATTACAAGGTCTCTGCCACTTGCTTAGATAGCAAATAATAAATGTAAACTTCGCTCCTGTAATCCTCCTTAACTTGGGATGTATGGTTGGGTGCATTATGCTATCTAAACCTAGCTAAGAGGTAAAGTCCAGTACAGTCTCAAGGCACTCTGTGAAAGATGAAAAATTCTTCCACTACTACCATCAGCCTTAAGCTTAATTGGTTAAGTGGCTGACTGAAAAAAGAAGATTGATATCCCAGCTTCCCTGTAATATTCATTGGAACTCCTGAGGAAGACTGCTTCTGTATACTTGCATCTAGCTATCATAAGTTTGTGCTTAGTAAAAGTAGGACTTTGATTAAAATATAGTATGTATTACTTGAAAATCTACAAAAAACAACTAAATTTACAAAAAGAACAAGGAGTCTGGTGGCACCTTAAAGACTAGCGGATTTATTTTGGCATAAGCTTTCGTGGGTAAAAACCTCACTTCTTCAGATGCATAGAGTGAAAGTTACAGATGCAGGCATTATATACTGACACATGGAGAGCCGGGAGTTACTTCGCAAGTGGAGAACCAGTGTTGACAGGGCCAATTCAATCAGGGTGGATGTAGTCCACTCTCAATAATAGATGAGGAGGTGTCAATTCCAGGAGAGGAAAAGCTGCTTCTGTAATGAGCCAGCCACTCCCAGTCCCTATTCAAGCCCAGATTAATGGTGTTAAATTTGCAAATGAATTTTAGTTCTGCTGTTTCTCTTTGAAGTCTGTTTCTGAAGTTTTTTTGTTCAATGATAGTGACTTTTAAATCTGTAATAGAATGACCAGGGAGATTGAAGTGTTCACTTACTGGCTTATGTATGTTACCATTCCTGATGTCCGATTTGTGTCCATTTATTCCACTTCCTGGACACTACAGTGCAAATAAGTGATGGTCACATAACCACCACCCTATACCGGAAGCCTACTGACCGCTATACGTACCTACATGCCTCCAGCTTCCATCCAAGACACATCACACGATCTATTGTCTACAGCCAAGCCCTAAGATACAACCGAATTTGCTCCAACCCCTCAGACAGAGACAAACACCTACAAGATCTTTATCAAGCATTCGTAAAATACAATACCCACCTGGGGAAGTGAGGAAACAGATTGACAGAGCAAGACGGGTACCCAGAAATCACCTACTACAGGACAGGCCCAACAAGGACAATAACAGAACACCACTGGCCATCACATACAGCCCCCAGCTAAAACCTCTCCAGCGCATTATCCACGATCTACAACCTATCCTGGAAAATGATCCCTCACTCTCACAGACCTTGGGAGGGAGGCCAGTCCTCGCTTACAGACAACCCCCCAACCTGAAGCAAATACTCACCAGCAACCACACACCACACCACAGAAACACCAACCCAGGAACCAATCCCTGTAGCAAACCTCATTGCCTACTCTGTCCCCATATCTACTCTGGCGACACCATCAGAGGACCCAACCACATCAGCCACACCATCAAGGGCTCATTCACCTGCACATCCACTAATGTTATATATGCCATCATGTGCCAGCAATGCCCCTCTGCCATGTACATTGGCCAAACCGGACAGTCCCTCCGCAAAAGAATAAATGGACACAAATCGGACATCAGGAATGGTAACATACATAAACCAGTAAGTGAACACTTCAATCTCCCTGGTCAATGATAGTGACTTTTAAATCTGTAATAGAATGAACAAAAAAACTTCAGAAACAGACTTCAAAGAGAAACAGCAGAACTAAAATTCATTTGCAAATTTAACACCATTAATCTGGGCTTGAATAGGGACTGGGAGTGGCTGGCTCATTACAGATGCAGCTTTTCCTCTCCTGGAATTGACACCTCCTCATCTCTTATTGGGAGTGGACTACATCCACCCTGATTGAATTGGCCCTGTCAACACTGGTTCTCCACTTGTGAAGTAACTCCCTGCTCTCCATGTGTCAGTATATAATGCCTGCATCTGTACCTTTCACTCTATGCATCTGAAGAAGCGAGGTTTTTACCCACGAACGCTTATGCCCAAATAAATCCGTTAGTCTTTAAGGTGCCACCAGACTCCTTGTTGTTTTTGTAGATACAGACTAACACGGCTACCCCCTGATACTTAAATTTACAAAACCATTGAAGGAGGTGTTGAAGGATTTTAATGGATTACAGCTGTCAGTCTCAGTGGAAATCGGTCTTGATCTAATAAACAAAACTGGAACCTCATAAGGACAAAACTTTTTAATACAGAGAAGCTATGAAATATTTCTACTCCTTAGTTAACATGAGTGATCCGAAATAAAGGTCAGGCTGGGTCCAGAACAGAAAGAGGATTAAATGGAATGTAATCATTAGTTCCTTTTCTTAACACTGAAGAGCTTGAATTCTACCCTAAATCTGTTGCAGTAGCCAGAGAAGTGCCACACTTTGCATCAGACTGATGGCAATTTGTGGAAATAAAGTTAGAGGATATTGTGTAGACTTCTATTCAGTTTTAAAAATAACTGCACACTCCTGTGCAGTCAGTACAGCATTAATAGTGTGTATTTCAGCACATTGCTGTAGTTAAACCATTGCAATAGGCTAGATGCTTTAAAATAAGTTGGTAAAAATGTGCCTGTATCCAAAGGAAAGAAGAAGTATAATAGGTAGAAAGTATCCTGGTGACTCCTACTGATGTGTGTGTTTTGTAGAATTGCCTGCTTTCCATTCTGTATAATGTGTACTTTCATGTTGGAACGGCAGATATATTTAAGGTGGTGCAGGTGTTTTTCTTATCAAGCCTTTGTGGGGTCTTACACTTAAGGAAAATGATTTGGGTTTTTCCAGTGTGAGGAAAATATTTACACCCCCTATTGGAGATAATAGGGGTTGCAGAGGATGAAGTCCACAGCAGAATTTAGCGCTAGGAAAATTACTATTTAGTCCAGCACTACTTGAACACATTTTAAATGTGTTGTTACTGCCAGAGAAGGAGGGATGTAAAAGAGTCTCCTCAGAAGCATAGAACCATAACGTTAGAAGGGACGGCAAGGGTCATATAGATGCAGGATTTGTTGCGTTTAATCCATCCAAGACAGATGGCTATCTAGCCTCCTTTTGAAAACCTACAGTAAAGGAGCTTCTACACCCTCCCTAGGCAGTCTGTGGTAGAATGTGAAATCTGTTATGATGAGAAGATTGCTGTAAGAAATTACTGAAGTGCATGGCAGCAGACAATACAGATATACTTACAGAAACTACTGTGAAGCCAGATAAGCTTTAACTCTTCAGTTTGCTCAATATGTTTTACTGTGCTTTTAAGTGAAAATAGCAAAACAAGAGAATCTGTAGCTAAAAAAAAATTTAAACTAGAGGATCCCACCCACCTGTCTATTGCTAGCAGTGGAGTTGGATCAGAGCCAGAATTAACTGCTTCTTCATCTTTTATGTAAGATGCAACTGTACATAAATTAATCCTAGTTAAGGATTCTGCTACAGGTTTGTCCGTGGCGTTTAATTTAATGTTTTTAAAATAAATATCTTCTTCCATTCCCCTCCTGTTTGATTTTCCATTTTATTCCTGAGTTAAACACATAGCTGAAGTCTTTTGCAATTGTATTCTTCTTTATTAACTATAGGAGTGATGTCAGATACAGAAAATCAAATTGGGAATGGAAATTAACACTTACATGCCCTCATGTAAGGAATGAATGGCACTAATAAGGTTGAGGGAGAGTCTAGTTTCCATATAGATAGAAAATAGGAATACAAAACCAAAATATTCCCCTGCAAAAAAGGTTATTCTTTTAATACTTACTACTCACACCTCAATGGGCTCACCAGCAACTAAACTAAATCACATTGTTAACTTAGTACACAAATCTAATACAGGATGTTTTTGATGAGACATCTTCAATGGGTATGTTACAGTATTTCCCATCCAACTGCTAGAGGGGAGGGAGGCGTTTGAGCTGCCCGCACACTGGGTAAGGCTATATACTCTCAGTATTAACTATGCCAGTATTCTAGATGCAATATTACTATAATTTAATTAAAATCCTGTAGTTTTACTAATAAGAAATCCCAATGGCTTTTAATGAATCTGTTCCTGTGCATAAAAATAAACATTCTGCAGTGAGAAAATACAGAATATTAACAATGAAATAGTAAGCGTATCATTGTATGAGCTTCTGACAGGCATTGGTTAAATTTCTCTTGTTAAATCTTTAGGGTTCCAGATTAGATGATCAAAGATGTGCTCCACCATCAACTGCCACAAAAGGACCAACTGTACCTGATGAAGATTTCTTCAGCCTTATTTTGAGATCACAGGCCAAGAGAATGGATGAACAGAGAGTCCCTTTACCCTCCAGTATAAAGAGACTAAATCCTAACGAAGACTTTTAGAAAGAGAAGCCTTGTTGGAATTTCAACTACAGCACAAAGATTAGGGGGTCGGCTTGTACTGTATTTTTTAACAAAGAATCTGTCACTTTCCTTTGTTTGCAGGGAAAACGATAATATGCCTTTAAAGGAAAAAAGGGTTTTGTAGCACTAATAATGTTTGGATATTCAGTTAAGTGTATTGTGTAAATAGTTTTACTTTTCAAAAATAGTGCTAGTAAACTGACAGTTGTACATTCCTGTGATGAGTATTCTGCAAAAGGTACAGTCTACAGTTGCTACTACTGCTAGAGATTAACTGTATGTCAAAGCTTAAATGAGTCACTGAGTACTTTCTTATCTAAAGTGGATAGCATTGTGATCAGTAAGATGTAGTGTTTAAGGTACTCTGCTTCATTGATTAAAACGCTACAAGTTTATGGCAGTTTAAATTAACAGTAATACAAATTTCATAGTTCTATATGTCCTTTTAAAAAACTTTTTTCCCTGATTTGTATGTTTACCTTTCCTGGAACGATCAGTTAGTCCCTGGACTTTTTTTATACCATTTTTTTTTTTAACCCACAAACTGAGGAATAAATTACCTCTCAGACTGCTTATTCGTGTGTGTGTGTGTGTGTGTGTGTGCGCGCGCGCGCGCGCTACTGAAAACCTAACAGATTGGAAAAGTTGTTCTCCGCAGAACTCAGCTCATTATAACAAGACTTTTACTGACTCATCTTGATATCTGAAGTCAGAAAAAAACGATTTCCAATTTGGCTTAGGACACAGTTTCTACTCTAAGTTATCTCCTAAACACCAAGATTGCTGGCTTCTCATAGCTTAAATTGAACATATCACATACTGGCCACTTTTCTTAAAAAGCTACTTTATTTAAATGCAAAAATAAGCTCTTGCTTTACAACCAGGCTTGGTTTACTTTGAAATACATACATTTACCTAGTTCTCCATCAACAGCTTCAGAGGGATAGTGTTGATCCATAAGGAGCAAAAATCTGAAGGATGAGAATTCGCTAGGAATCCAGTCTTCTTGATTAAGGGGCAAGCCATAGCTAGTGTCTCACTTGCCAACTGGCATTGATAAATTTCTTTAATTGCTGCACTTTCATCTACACTGGGGTTCCATTGCATCAGGAAGATAAAACCAGGGAACTAAGGGGTTCCTGGAAGATCTTCAATAGTAGGCTGCTGACTTTGTTCCTGCAATGAGAAGGTTTAAATGTTTAATAAACAGCAAGTGGATTCTGCAGTTCAAAACATTCAACTCTCCTCCCCAAAATGATGTAATTACTCCAGTGAAGTGACCACCATCTCCGGACAGGGCTCAAAAATGCATGATCCATGGGTCCCATGTTAGAAGGTGCATTTTATTTAAGTTTTGCAAAATAGAAATAGATGTACTGAGACAGATGAGCCTCTGATCTAACCAACAGCAGCCACTGTCAGATGCTTCACAAGGTGCAAAACAATCAACAACCCCCCCTCAGCTCGAGAATAACCTGCTCATCGCACAGTAGCTGGAATTATGCTCTGAAACAGTTTTTAAACATGTTGAATAACTGCCGGTGTCAATCTATAAAATCCTCTTGCTTCCTAATATCTGCAACTCACTGGCACTAGATTAGGTAGCACAAAACCCATTCCCTGTTTATCACTGAAGCTAGTTTCATTGTGTCCCTTTAATATTACAGTAAGGGCCACAGTTATCACTCCTGGCCCCAAAGAGCTAACTTTTGTATTGTAAGAGAGCAAACCACACATTTTTAGAAAGGGGGCATGGCAACACTCAGTCTCCCTTTCTAGTTGATTGTCTAAAGATTAAAACTGTTGTAGACAATCTGGCCCCCATCTAATTCTGCTCTCTATTTCTAGATGAAGTGACCACACATGTATACAGTATTCTAAAGGATGTACCACTGGTTTTTAATAGGGCATTGTATTGTTTCTTGAACATTCTTATTTTTTTTAACTGAGCTGCAAAACAAGCTAATTACACGCAACTCTTCTTGATAGCTGTGTATGAGGAGTTCAAATTATGCCTTTTAATGTGATAAAACTGACACACGTAAGCTATTGTGCTACTACCCCTTTCCCTGAGTTTGTTAGGCAAACCCAGATGCCTCTGGAACCTAAATATTTTGTGGTATCTGCAGCTTTTCTCTACTTAGTTACCCCCTTTTTCCATATGTTAAATACAAAGAGTAGTAGAGAACCTTGCTGCACCCCACATAGGCTAATTTTCAGCATTGTTATCTTCCCATGACAAAGTTGCCTTAGTAATCTCCTGTAAAGGACTTTATCAAATATTCCCTGAAAGTCAAAAAAAATATATATATATCAAGGTGGGTGAGTTTAAATCTAACCAATTTTGATCTTGTTTTGCATGTGTAGTTTTAGTTATTTCCTATAGATGGGGGTAGGCAAACTTTTTTTTTTGCCTGAGGGCCACATCTGGGTATGGAAATTGTATGGCAGACCATAAATGCTGATGCAAATGGGGGTTGGGCTGTGGGGGAGGGGGGTGCAGACTCTGGGGTGGAGCCAGAAATTAAGAGGTCAGGGTGCAGAAGGGAGCTCCAGGGGACTAAGGGGGTTCGCAGGCTGGGGTGTGGAAGGAGGTCAGGGTGCAGGTTCCGGGCAGCACTCACCTCAAGCAGCATGCAAAGGTGTGACCAGGCAGTTCTGCGCGCAGCCCGTCCGCAGGCACGGCCCCTGCACCTCCCAGTGATGAGGAACTGCAGAGCTGGGGCGGGGGCCGCATGTGGAGCCCCCTGGCTGTCCCTATGTGTAGGAGCCAGAGGGGAGACATGCCTGACGTGCCACTGCTGCTGGGAGCAGCGTGGAGCCACAGCATGCGCGGAGTGGGGCAAGCCCCCAACTCCGCTCCCCGCTAGGTGCTTAAGGGCCAGATTAAAAGGTTTACACCCCTGCTGTAGATCCGCTTTAATCTACGTACTGCCTTTTCATATAGGAATTTGTCTCTGAACATCGGGAGGGGGACAAAACAACACTGGTTTTTCAGATAACCGCTCTAGAGAGAGCACTTAGTTAAAGTGCACCACCTTTTTAAACATGAAATTTATAAAAACAAATCTGTACTGTTAAGTTAAATAAATAGTGAAAATTGTTCTAGGCTTAGCTCGAATAGCTATTAAAATGCACAATCATTAACATACACTGGATGCTACCTTGTGATGCTCTTCTCTTTGTGCATCTGGTATATCACCGGCCGGCAGAACTTCAGGACTTCTGTAGCCATTTTGAAGTCGCATGTAATCATCGCTCTCTCTGAGAGCATCTCCTCTGTCATAAGGTCCTCCACTGAGGGGACCAACATTCCCTCTGTAATTGGCAGCTGAATCACCTGCCCTATAATTTATTTGTTGCCAGTGCTGTCTGTCACTTGGAAGAAGTGAAGGAGATGGTTCCTGCTCAGGACTTTTAAAATCTCTTAATGTAGCAACCGATTTTCCTGCACCATAGCACAAACCCTAAAGAAAAGACACTGTCTCCTTAAGTATTAAGCGTTCACTTTTGCAACTTGTAGTTTTCTTCTCTCTCTCTCCAGAGATACATTTACATCTCTGCATTTCCACACAATAGTGTGTAAAGGGGAAATTTCAGTATATGATTTACCATTTTCTCAAGAGCATTCCTACTTCAGAAAATTACTCAAGTTGACAAAGTGGTTTTTAAAAAGTACACAATTTCATTACTTTGGAACAGAGTTTAGGAACAAACTTAAATTAATGTGTCTGAACAAATTTATCTATTTTTGTTACAAGCCCTAAGATTACTGTAACTGAAAGATTATTGAAATTTTTTTTTTCAGGTTTTTACTGTCCCATTTTTTCCCGTCAATGGGACATCACAGTGTCCTGCTCTCCACTAGTCGGTCAGTATTGGTATGAGCTGGTCAGAGGATAGGTATGTTTTTTGGTGCAAGCCTCTCCAACATTCCCTGGTAATTCTAGCTCAGTCCTCTCAAGTACAAAGTGCCATTTTCTGCAGAGGTTCTGTTATGTGGTCCAACCAGAGCTGGTGTGAAACTAAACCCATTTTCATTGTATTTTTAGTTATTTTCCTGAAGATTGATTTGCAATTACATTGACTCTCTAGTAAAACATGTTGATTTACAACTAAATATAGCCTTTTGCAAGACAAGGCGTTAGTGTATCTATACACACAGTTAAGAACTATATAGTTGAAAGAAGAAATTACCTTGTGCAGTAACGATGGCTCTTCGAGATGTGTCCCCCTGTGGGTGCTCCATTCTAGGTGTCGGTTGGTCCCTGCGCCGGAGATTTCTCGCAGCAGTACTCGGTCGGGGGAAGGGCGAGCACAGGAGTCATCTCATGCAGCCGTTGGCACCTTCTGTAGCGCGCGCTCCCCCAACCATCCCCTCCGTTCCTTCTCTACCGCAGAGCACGGCTGTGTGAACTTCGAAGTAGAGTGGAGGAGGGTGGGTAGTGGAGCACCCACAGAGGGACACATCTCGAAGAACCATCGTTACTGCACAAGGTGAGTAACAAACAAACAAACAAACAACTTCTTCTTCGAGTGGTGTCCCTGTGGGTGCTCCACTCTAGGTGGAGTCTGAGACAAGGCCTTGGGTTATAGCGTAATGCTTTGCAAAAAAGTGTGCTCCGATGTCCAGGTTGCAGCTCTACAAATATCTATTAAGGGGACATTGTTCAAGAATGCAATCGATGTCGCCATGGCTTGCGTTGAGTGGGATCTGATGCCCACAGAGGGTTCTTTGTGATTCAGGTGGTAGCAACTTTGAATACAGGTAGAGACCCATTTGGAGAGTCTCTGGGTCGATATTGTAGAGCCCTTGGAACACTCTGCTGTAGAGACGAATAGTCTTGGTGACTTGCGAAATGGTTTAGTTCTGTCCAAGTAGAAGGCTAAAGCCCGTCTGACATCTAGCATGTGTAACGTTGCTTCTCGAGAGTCGTTATGTGGCTTGGGATAGAAGGCAGGTAAGCGTATGGTTTGGTTAATATGAAAATTTGTAGCCACTTTTGGGCAAGAATTTTGGGTGAGGACATAACATGATTTTGTCTTTGGTAAATACAGTGTACGGGTGGTTCAGCCATCAATGCTCCTATTTCGCTGACACGTCTGGCAGACATGATTGCCACTAGGAATGCAACCTTTATTAACATACGAAGGAGCGAGCGGGTTGCTAGAGGTTCGAAGGGTGGTCTTGTGAGACATTTGAGCACAAGATTGAAATCCCATGGTGGTGCAGGTTGGCATACTGCTGGGTACATGTTCTGTATACCTGCAAGAAAGTGCCATGTAATCGGGCGAGGGAACATTGAAGCCCCTTCTGTTCGTGGAGGGACGTAATGGCAGCAAGGTGTTCTTTAATAGAGCTTATGGCTAACCCCGTTTCCTTCAGTTCTAGTAGGTAGTCTAGGATCATAGATAGAGGCGCCTTGGTCGCATCCAGCTGTTTTTGCTGACACCAAAGGGAGAATCTTCTCCACTTGTGGCGGTAAGTATTTCTAGTGGTGAGGTGACGGCTATTTAGTAATACCTGTTTTACTTTCTCCGAACAGTTCAATTCCCCCATGTTGGAACCAG